CAAAAGATCTCATGCATGTACTGCTACACTCCATACCCACATCTCTGCTGGAGACTCCCAGATACCCATAGGCAAGTCCTGGTGCACAGGAAGTTCTGTTTGTGCCATCCAAGAGTCTGTTTCCCAGTCCGGTGTAAGTTCTGGCAGCTCTTTGGTGGGTTTAATGGCGACCTCTTCCAAGAGGGCTTATGCCATACCCAAGTCTGCTGCACCCAGAGCCCCTGTCCCCGTGGCAGACCACTGCATATATATGAGATATACTATGGATAATTTTATGCTAATACATTTGGAAACTTAAGTTTATCAATTTCTAGAAAAAGATAACTTACCACCAGGACAAATAGCTAAATGATCCTATATTTAAAATCTTTAAATTGTAGAAGTAGCTATTGAACAACCATTGACAGGAATATGCTGGAACCTACCAAAAAATGATACCCCACATCCAAAGACAAAGAAGAGATGTCAGTGAGACAGCATGAGGGGCACAGTCATGAAGAAATCAAATCCATACCCACCAGGAGGGTGACCCACAAGTTGGGAACAATATACCAAAGAAGTTCTCCCACTGTTGTAAAGGCTCTGAACCCCACATCAGGCATTCAAGCCTGGGGGTCCCACAATGACTAGGACTCCCCAGGGAACCTGACCTTGAAACCCAGAGGGATTTGATTATAAGACTTCCTCAGGATTGGAGGAAACACAGACTCCTGTCTTGGAGGGCACAAAGAAAACCTTGTGATACCAAGACTCAGAAGAAAGGAGCAGTGACCCCACAGAGTTCAGTTCAGTCACTCAGTCATATCCGACTCTTTGCAACCCCATGAATCGCAGCACGCCAGGCTTCCCTGTCCATCACAAACTCCCGGAGTCTGCTCAAACTCATGCCCATCGAGTCGGTGATGCCATCCAGCCATCTCTTCCTCTGTCGTCCCCTTCTCCTCCTGTCCCCAATCCCTCCCAGCATTAGGGTCTTTTCCAATGAGTCAACTCTTCACATGAGGTGGCCAAAGTACTGGAGTTTCAGCTTCAGCATCAGTCCTTCCAATCAACACCAGGACTGATCTCCTTTAGGATGGACTGGTTGGATCTCCTTGCAGTCCAAGGGACTCTCAAGAGTCTTCTCCAACAACACAGTTCAAAAGCATCAATTTTTCATCACAGCTTTTTTCACAGTCCAACTCTCACATCCATACATGACCACTGGAAAAACCATAGCCTTGACTAGACGGACCTTTGTTGGCAAAGTAATGTCTCTGCTTTTTAATATGCTATCTAGGTTGGTCGTAACTTTCCTTCCAAGGAGTAAACGTCTTTTGATTTCATGGCTGCAGTCACCATCTGCAGTGATTTTGGAGCCCCCCAAAATAAAGTCTGATACTGTTTCCACTGTCTCCCCATCTATTTCCCATGAGGTGATGGGACCAGATGCCATGATCTTAGTTTTCTGAATGTTGAGCTTTAAGCGAACTTTTTCACTCTCCTCTTTCACTTTCATCAAGAGGCTTTTTAGTTCCTCTTCACTTTCTGCCATAAGGGTGGTGTCATCTGCATATCTGAGGTTATTTATATTTCTCCTGGCAATCTTCATTCCAGCTTGTGCTTCTTCCAGCCCAGCATTTCTCATGATGTACTCTGCATATAAGTTAAATAAGCAGGGTGAAAATATGCAGCCTTGACACACTCCTTTTCCTATTTGGAACCAGTCTGTTGTTCCACGTCCAGTTCTAACTGTTTCTTCCTGACCTGCATACAAATTTCTCAAGAGGCAGGTCAGGTGGTTTGGTATTCCCATCTCTTTCAGAATATTCCACAGTTTATTGTGATCCACACAGTCGAAGCCTTTGGCATAATCAATAAAGCAGAAATAGATGTTTTTCTGGAACTCTCTTGCTTTTTCGGTGATCCAGCGGATATTGGCAATTTGATCTCTGGTTCCTCTGCCATTTCTAAACCCAGCTTGAACATCTGGAAGTTCTCCGTTCACGTATTGCTTAAGCCTGGTTTGGAGAATTTTGAGCATTACCTTACTAGTGTGTGAGATGAGTGCACTTGTGTGGTAGTTTGAGCATAAGACTGAACCAAAACTACCTGCTGGTGTTGGAGGGTCTCCTGTGGAGGTGTGGTTCAGCAGGGGCTCACCACAGAAATGGAGGCACCAGTATGGAAAGGTCTCCTGTGGTGTAAACCCTTTTGGAGTTCTCCATTGAAAAGAAAGTGAAGTTGCTCAGTCATGTCAGATACTTTGCGATCCCATGCACTATAGCCTACCAGACTTCTCCATCCATGGAATTTTCCAGGCAAGAATACCAAAGTGGGTTGCCATTTCATTCTCCAGTGGGTTGCCAATTCTTCCTGACTCAGGGATTGAACCCAGGTCATTACAGGCTCTGAGCCACCATAAAGCCTTGGGTTGCCTCAAGCCAAAAAACCAGGGAGGGAGCACAACCCCACCCATCAGCAGATAATTGGATTAAAGTTTTACTGAGCAAGGCCCTGCCCACCAGAGCAAGACCCAGTTTTTCCCATCACCAGTCTCTTCCATCAGGAAGCTTCTTACACAAACTTCTTAACCTCCTCCCTTAGAGAGCAGACAGAACAACCACATCCCCACAGTGACTACAGAAAAAACCACATTACAGAAAGGTAATCAGTGTGAAAAAGCAGAAAGTTATGTTCCAGATGAAGGGACAAAATAAAACCCAAGAAAAACAACTAAATGAAATGGATATAGGCAACCTTCCAGAAAAAGAATTCAGAATAATGATAATAAAGATGATTTAGAATCTCAGAAAGAGAATGGAGGCAAATATTGTGAAGATGAAAGAAATGTTTATCAAAGACCTAGAAGAACTAAAGAACAAACAGATGAATAATACACTAGAAAGAATTAGTAGCAGAATAACAACTGAGGCAGAAGAACAGATAAATGCCCTAGAGCACAGAATGGTGGAAATCACTGCCACAGAATGCAATATAGAGAAAAAGAATGAAAAGAAATGAAAACAGCCTAAGAGACCTCTGGGACATTAAATGCACCAACATTTGCATTATAGGGGCCCCTGAAGGAGAAGAGAAAGAGAAAGGACCTGAGAAAATACTTGAAGAGGTAATAGCTGAAAACTTCCCTAACAGGGGAAAGGAAATAGTCAACCAAGTCCAGGAAGCAGAGTCCCAGGCAGGATAAATAAAAGGAGGAACACACTGAGACACACAGTATTCAAACTGACAAGAATTAAAGACAAAGATAAAATATTAAAAGCAATAAGGGAAAAACAACAAACAACATACAAGGGAACTCCCATCAGGCTATCAGCTGATTTCTCAACAGAAACTCTACAGGCCAGAATGGAATAGCATGATATATTTAAAGTGATTAAAGGGAAGAACCTACAACCAAGAATACTCTACTGGGCAAGATTCTCTTTCAGATCTGATGGAGGAATCAAAAGCTTTCTAGACAAGCAAATATTAAGATAATTCAGCACCACCAAACCAGCCTTACAACAAATGCTAAAGGAATTTCTCTAGGCAGGAAACAAGGAAAAGACTTATCTACAGAAAATAAACCTAAAACAATTAAGGAAATGATAATAGGATCATACACATCCATATGCTGTTCTTAGTAGCTCAGTAATGTCTGACTTTTTGTGACCCCATGGACTATAGTCCACCAGGCTCTTCTGTCCATGGGGATTTTCTAGGCAAGGATACTGGAGTTGATTGCCATGCCCTCCTCCAGGGATCTTCCCAACCCAGGGATCAAACACAAGTTTCCCACATTACAGACAGATTCTTTACTGTCTGAGCCACCAGAGAAACCCAAGAATACTGGAGTGGGTAGCCTATCTCTTCTTCAGGGGATCTTCCCTATCCAGGAACCGAGCTGGGATCTTCTGCATTGCATGCAGATTCTTTACCAGCTGAGCTACCAGGAAAGCCCATTTATATCCATAATTACCTTAAATGTAAATGGATTAAGTACACCAATCAAAAGACATAGACTGGCTAAGGAGATGAAAACATGTGCATGTATGCACTTCCACTTACCACATCACTCTGCTTGATCCCCCCAAATTATATGTAATTATTTTATATTGTTAATGATGTTCCCATTATGGCTTGTGATTGTACTTATCTTTTATTTTTTTTCTGGCTATTGATTGTGAAAATTGATCAACATCTTTCACTATAGCAATTATGTAACTATTACTCAATACAACTGTATCATGACTGGTTAACAGAAAAATAACAGAATTCTGTGTCACCAAAACTACCATTTAATAGAAAAACCTGTAATAACTTTTTAAAATCCAGATGCTAATCAGAGCTATCTTGGAATTTTTCGAAAAATACAAATGTCCAGGTATGGCTTTTCCTTTTACCAGGGCTCCAGATATGTTTCTATTGAGCAGGCATGTTTAAAAATAACTGGACTATATGAAGATCTTTTACTTTTATCCAGTTTGTTTCACTTTATTTCATATTCAGTGCTCCCATTTCATTTAGTTTATGATTTCACTTAGGAATAAACTCACGCACAGAATCAATCTATCTCATGTTTCACATATTTATGTGTCATCTATGTATATCATAAAACAATATTCAAGGCAACTTCTTGACAGAAAAGTACTCAATATTTAGAGAAAGAACAGTTATTAAAAAGTATCAATTTTCTCAAAATAGAAAATTCCTTCTCATCCTTTATGTCTTAATTATGACCTATTCTGTAAAGGCTTCTCTGAGGACCCTGGGTAAACCTAGGCATTGTCTCCTTTATATTTCCTCTGCTATGTATGCACACCTATTTTCTTTATTGTACTTACCTTATTGGGTGTGGCTATTGGCATGTCTATCTCCTTACTACACTATAACTGAACTATGTGTTTTCTTTTTTCAGTCTTTAGTGCCACTTGGCATGAATCAGGAGCTCAATAAATGTTAGTTGAAAAAATGAATTAACAGACTGCATGATTTACTCAACAGCTGTTGATATTTACCTGATTTGCAAAATAGGTTTGTTCTCTTTGATCTTCCATTCCAGTCAACATTAATCTCCTTCTACATAATACAAACAACAAAACAAATATCTTCAAATACATTTTTCCAAGATCTGATCAAGTTATTTATATATTTAAAACACAAAGATTTATGATTTTTGAGAACTTCTCTTAAATTTTTTAATTTTTAAAGAAATGCACATATTTTGATGGTTATATTACATCTATTATTTACAGACTTAAACAAGTTTATAGTTATAGGAGGGCCACAAGACTATGCACATGTGGTAATTTGCTGAGACTCATGGGACTCAGAATATAGTTGTACTCACATCTAATATTTATTATATTAATAGTAAAAGGATACACTATAGGATAAGTAAGGGAGAAAGACAGGAAGAGTCCGGGAAAATACAAGCACAGTTGCTTTCTCCGTCCTGTGAAAGGACACATTTGAACATGCTCTTTTCTCCAGCAATAAAAGTACATGTGTGTAATGTTTTGCCTCAGAAATCCATTAGAAACTCAGCACTTAAGGATTTTATTGAAGGTTCATCATGAAGACATCCTCTGCCTAATGCATATCTGAAATTCTAGCCTCCCAAAAGGAAATCAGATGTTCAACAAAAATCACATTTTCTGCAGAGTCTAGGTAGATGTATGCACCTGTTCAGTTAGAGAATTTTCGTATCAGTTAGAGAATGTTAGAAAAGCCAGGTTCCCAAACACTAGCCACAGGCCAGTCTTGCAAGCAAGCCACTACAAAGTCAGCAGTCTCAAGCTTATTCTTTTCTGCACAGTATCATTTACTGTTAAATTAAGTATCTTTGGAGTGCACTGATTAGTAAGGAAGCTAACTCAATGGAATAAATGACCAGGTACATTTTTTTTTTAAAACACTTAAAGAATAAACGTTTAAGTAGAGCTGGAAGGCAGAATGCAGATTCTCTGAATATACAAGAGTTTGCGAGCAATGAATCAGGTGCAATAGACTTTTTCCTTTTTGGGGGCTGCACTGTATAGCTTGCAGGATCTTAAGTTCCAGACCAGGTATGGAACCCAGACCTCCAACAGCAAAATGCCAAGTCCTAACCACTGGAGTGCCAGGGAATTTCCACAATAGGCTTTAAAAATAATTTTTTTAAAAAATTGAAGGATAACTGCTTTACAGAATTTTGTGGTTTTCTGTCATATATCAACAAGAACCAGCCATAGGTACACTCATGTCTCCTCCCTCTTGGACCTCCCTCCCAGCCCACACTTCAGCCTGTCACAGAGCCCCTGTTTGAGTTGCCTGAGTCATAGAGCAAATTCCCATTGGCTATCTCTTTTACATATGGTATTATAAATTTCTATGTTACTCTCTTCATACATCTCCCCTTCTCCCTCCTCTCATCCCACCATGTCCATAGGTCTATTCTCTATGTCTGTTTCTCTACTGCAGCTCTGAAAATAAATTCATCAGTGCCATCTCTTCAGACTCCATATATATGTGTCAGTATACGATATTCACATTTCTCTTTCTGACTTAGTTCACTCCGTATAACAGGTTCCAGTTTTGTCCACCTCATTAAATAGATTCAGATATGTTCCTTTTTATGGCCAAGTAGTATTCCATTGTATATATGTACCACAGCTTCTTTATCCATTTATCTGTCAATGGACATCTAGGTTGCTTCCATGTTCTAGATATTGTATAAAGTGCAGCAATGAACATTGGAGTACATGTGTCTTTTTCAATTTTGATTTCCTCAGGGTATATGTCTAGGAGTGGGAATCCTGGTTCACATGGTGGTTTTATTCCTAGCTTTTTAAGGAGTCTCCATACTGTCTTCCATAGTGGCTGTATCAGTTTATATTCCCGCCAGCAATGCAAGAAGGTACCCTTTTCTCCACACCCTCTCCAGCAATTATTGTTTGTAGACTTTTCGATGATGGCCATTCTGACTGGTGTGAGGTGGTATCTCACTAGTTTTGACTTGCATTTATCTAATAATGAGTGATGTTGAGCATCTTTTCAAGTGCTTGTTAGTCATCTGTATATCTTCTTTGGAGAAATGTCTCCTCAGGTTCCTTTCCCACTTTTTGACTGGGCTGTTTGCTTTCCTGGTATTGAGTTGTATGAGCTGCTTGTATATTTTGAAATTAATTCTTTATCATTGTTCCCTTTGCTATCATGTTCTTCCATTCCAAGGGCTGTCTTTTCACCTTGTTTGTAGTTTCCTTTGCTATGCAAAAGCTTTTAAGTTTTATTAGGTCCCACTTGTTGATTTTTTTTATTTCCATTACTTGAGGATGTGGGTCACAGAAGACCTTGCTTTGATTTATGTCATTGAGCGTTCTGCCTGTAAGAGTTTAATAGTTTCTGGTCTTACATTTAGGTATTTAATCCATTTTGAGTAATCCATATCTTTGTGTATGGCATTAGGAAATGTTATAATTTCATTCTTTTGCATGTAGCTGACCAATTTTCCCAGCATCACTTATTGAAAAGGCTGTCTTTGCCCCATTGTATATTCTTGCCTCCCTTGTCAGAAATAAGGTACCTGTAGGTACGTGGGTTTATCTCTGGGTTCTCTATCTTGTTCCAATGGTCAATATTTCTGTTTTTGTGTCAGTACCATACTGTCTTGGTGACTGTAGCATTTAAGTGTAGTCTGAAGTCAGGAAGGCTGATTCTTCCAGCTCCATCCTTTCTCAAGACTGCTTTGGCTATTCCATATGAATCATGAAATTTTTTGTTCTAGTTCCGTGAAAAATGCTATTGGTAATTTTATAAGGATCACACTGAATCTGTAGATTACATTTGGTAATATAGTCATTTTCACAATATTGATTCATCCTACTCAGAAACATGGAATATCTATCTCTTTATGTCATCTTTGACTTCTTTCATCAGTGTCTCATAGTTTTCTGTATACAGGTCTTTTGTCTCCTTAGGTAGGTTTATTCCTAGATATTTTATTCTTTCTGTTGCAATGGTGAATGGTATTGATTCCTTAATTCCTTTCTGATTTTTCATTGCTAGTATATAGGAGTGCAAGTGATTTCTCTGTGTTGACCTTGTATCCCACAACTTTGTTGAATTTGTTGATTACTAGAGCTAATCAGTGAATTCACAATAGACTAAATTTCCAGATAAGTGTTGAACACAGACCATCAGACATACATTTTATGACAGTGGTAAGCTTTGAACAATATGTTGGAAACAGGATGTAATACTTTTCATAATAAAATTCTAATGGTATTTCTCATAATAAACCAGATATTTGTGGACATTTAATATTCATTTTCAAGAAATATGGATGGCAAGTTTAAGAATATATGCATTGCTCAAAAAAGGTCAATAATAAAATGTATTTAAAGAAGTTTAAGAAGTTTTTCATTTTTTTGTTGTTGTTTTGGTTTTTAGTAAATGACATAGTCTTCAATATTTATTGGGCAATATGAGGACTTTAGATGTTGAGAGTTAGTAAAAAATTTCCTTTTCATGCTTAATGTGGTTATTAACACAGCAGAACATTGAAACGTAAACTGCTTGTTCATAATAAAACTATGCTACAGAAAAGCATATTATATTAAACACACATTTATGAATTGTATATAAGGGACTCTCAAAAATTATGCATTAGAAGACATGGGAAATGATGTTACTTTCTACTGTAATCAAATAGAATTCATTTAGAAAAAATTTAATAAATTTCCAGTATATTGAAATCTCTTTCAAATCATGTTGAGTTTTTAAGAGTTCAACCAGTTAACACTGTGCTGCTAACCTAATGGAAGATGTGGGTTTTGACTCCTGTGATAGCAAATTGGCAACCACAGAGAAAGGTATCTATGCATTTATGTAATACCCAGAAGCCACACCCTGAACTTTTGCTGGTAACTTTTCAAAAGCAATTAACTGATCATTAGTCAAAAGGGAATGGGAAAAGATGGCCTGTCTCAGAACAATCAGCACTATCGAAAAAGCCCAATCAAATAAGCCTAATTTGATACTTTCTATGAAGGTTGCAGGTATGTATCATGAACTATATGTTGCAGCCTATTTTGGGGAATTTTAGGATATGATTAATTTCAGCGAGTAAAGCTGTTCTATATAGTAGCTTCATGAATGAATTTTTTTAACCAGTGTTGATCATAAAACTGTACTTCATTTATTATTTGCATTTGGAGCAAAGGAAATATTATATACCTCAACTTTTGAATGATTCAAATAAGACAGTGAAGATCTGGGAAAATTTCTCGTAGCTGAATTCTGAGGTGAAATCATTGAATCTTGAGTTGTGACATATGGCTCCCCTGGACAAAGAAGAGAAACAATTACATACAAAAAGATAATATTGCTGGATTAAGGATGAATGTTCATGAAAAGAACTGATTCAATGTTTTCCCTACTTACTGAGCACAATCACTGGGTTACATCAATCAGGGATTCACCTGAGTTAAGGAAGTATCACCAAGAATAACATGTGCTTTTTTGATGTTCAGTGCCTACAAATTTCCAGTGGCTCACCACTGCTCTCAAAACCAAGTCTGAGATCCTTAACCTCTGATCCTAATTCATATACTACTATGTCAATTTAATTCCTATAATCACAAACCACTGGCAGGTGTAACTGGATATTTGCATTTCATTCAGTCTGCAATGGAAAACCATTCACAACTTGAATAGGTGAATAACCAAAACTGGTTTTTGGAAAATTGCTTTTACACCAAAACATATAGTGAATTAAAAAGAGGAGGAAGAGGTTGGGGAAAGATTACTAAAATATTCAAAGATGGACAAAACAAAGTCAGCTGTTTTGGGAATGGAAAAGAGGAGAGGGGAAGAGGAATTAAGGAGCTAGGTTAGACAGAGACTGGTAATGTTGGGATACGAAATTTAAGAAAGAGAAAGAGTCAAAGATTAGTAAAGTTTTGTGCCTGGGTAAAAACAGAGGATGAAGAATTTGATTTCTGTATTGAAGCTGAGCTGGTCATTGGTTACGACGTGGAGGGTTCTAGCATGTTCTATGTGTGTATACTGTAGGATATGCATGGAAGTACTTTGAGTGATTTCCAGAAATCTAACAACATGCAGAAAAACTTAGTTTTTGTATATTCCACTCATGAGGAGATACAAATTAGGATATATTGCCTATAAGGAATATATGGCAGTGGAATATGAGGGCCTTCCTGGGAAGTGCTCTGTATTGTAACCTACTGAACCATAGTATGTCAGTACCTTACTCTACTTATCACTGGAACGGCTACAGCAGGTATTCTAACTTGTCCACACCTCACAATTTTTTTTTTCATTTATTTTTATTAGTTGGAGGCTAATTACTTTACAATATTGTAGTGGTTTTTGTCATACATTGACATGAATCAGCCATGGATTTACATGTATTCTCCATCCCAATCCCCCCTCCCACCTCCCTCTCCACCCGATTCCTCTGGGTCTTCCCAGTACACCAGGCCCGAGCACTTGTCTTATGCATACACCTCACAATTTTCAAAAACCATACTCATAAAGAAATCATTCAAATTTTTAGGCTAATTAAAAAATCAAAATTCATAAAGTTTCATATCATGCTTTATTTTCCAAAATAACCATGAGTTTTATAATCAAGTAAAACAACTTGAGAAACTATATGGTGAAACCATAATTAGGTACTTAACAAATAACAGAACAATTATGAAATGTTTTTTATTTTCTTACCTCTATCATCAAAAACACTTGGTTTTCTACTTGTCTCTCCATCTTTCTAAATGGCACAACATTAAAGATAAGAACATTCATTAGTAACTTTACTTCTTAAAGAGATTTGCCTTCCATCAATCAACCAAATTAATACAGATTTTCTTGTCTTTAATCTTCTAACTCTCTCATGAAAACTATCTCAGGGGCAATACTTAATACCAGCCTCCTATAGTACCTTCTACAGGTAGGTACTAGTTCTATAGGTATTTCACTAGTTCAAAATTGAGTTTAGTATGTAGCCATGTATAAATCTGCTCTTCTTCCAGTATTCCATACTTTGTTTAAATTCATGGTAATCTATTTAATGGCTGATTCTAAAAACTTTGGTCATTTGCTTTGTTTCAGGGAAATACAATCCAAACTATTCTAATCCAATTAATGCTTTAAAAACACATTGCTTAGAATCAAAATAAAATTTCCATATTCTTTATTTACTGTAAAACATTTTTTTTGTGTTTGTCTGCTTCCCTAAACAATAAGTCCTCAAGAGGAAAGATTATGTATTATTCTCCTTTGTATCCTGTGTGACTGGTTTATTCATTTTCCCTTCCTTCTGAAAAAGCCATAGGGCTTTGGCCAACAGATGCACAATAGACGTTAGATATTATTATCATTGCAGTTGCTAACTAATTGTTTGGATCAGTTTCTGCTAAATTACATAGTGAGTTTAGCACAAAGGTAAATCAACACATATAGGGAAAAGGATCAGTTCTCAGGAATAGACCCTAATATCCCTAAAAGATAAGTTAACATGCTAGAGAAGGAGATGGTTCATAGAAGCAACATTAACAAGATAAATTAATAATCAGCATACAAAAGTTTGAGACATAACTTTATACCTTTTGTTTAGCATCATCTTGTGCGTCTGGCTGACAAACAACAGAAGGTACAGTTTTTTTGGCAACATTCTTTGAACTACTTAGAGATCTATGAAGAGTGTTTACACAGGGTCCTAAAAGAAATGAAAGAGAAACAGCATATTTTTAAAAAGAACTCACTGAAGTATAATTGAAGTAACATAAACTGTACTTATTTTAACTGCATGGTTTCCTGAATTTAAAAATATGCTCATAACTGTGAAGCCATCACTACAACCAAAATAAAATTTACAATACCCCCTGAAAGTTCTCTCATTCACCTTTGTAATCCATCTATCTCTTTCTTCCCATTCTCTGACAACACTGCTCTGTACTTCTAACACAAGATTTATTTGCATTTTCTAGAATTTTATAGGAATGGGATCATATAGTATGTATTCTGTTTTTGCCTGCTTTCTTTCAGTTAACATAATATTGTATGTTTTAAAAATTCATTCTTTTATTTCTAAAAATTATTCCATTGCAATGGATTTGTCACAATTATTTTTATCTACTGTTGTTTGAGATTTACAGTTTTGGCAACTTACAAATATTTATGAATTTACCTGCACAAGTTTTTGTGAATATACGTTTTCATTTTTATTGAGTAAATACATAGCAGTAGATGGCTAGGTCATATGGTAGGTATATGTATAATTTTTAAGAAATGTCAAACTGTTTTCCAAAGTGGTTGTACCATATCATACTATTCAGCAGTGTATCAAAGTTTTAATTCTTCCACATCCTTGTCACACTTAATAGGCAGAAGAAAAGAAATAAGATCCAAGTGAAAAGGAAATAGAAAAACAAGAGAAAATAAACAGTTTAAATAAAACTGATAAGTCAGACTGATCAGAAAAAAGAGAAGACACAGAGATAATGGCATAACAGAGTCTATAGATAATACTAAAAATAATAAATTATGAAAAGGTATAGCAATAAGTTATGAGATATATTTTCCATAAAAAGCAAAAAAATGACCAAATCTCATTCATGAACAAGTAGAAAATATGAAGATCATATCTATTTAATAAATGGAATGTGTAGTTTAAAACATTTCCACAAAGAAAACTCTAGGCTCAAATGACTTTCCTTCTGAATTATACAACATACCAAAGAAAGAATTTACACTAATTCTACACAAATTCATCCAGAAAAATGAAGAGGAGTAAACTCATCTCCTAACTCATACTTTGAGACCAGAATCACTCAGATATAAAAATCATATAAAAATTACAAGACATTACAAGAAAAACTCAGTTAATATCTTCCCATGCCAAAAGATGTAAAAATTATAAATAAATTGAATCTAACAATATATACTAAAAAATAATATATAATGAATAGTGATGCTTATCCCAAGAAATATAGTGGTTTATTATTCAAAAATAAGTCAAAGTAACTTACTACAGTAGGAGCAAATTTAGATGATTACCTCCAAGATGCAAGGAAAAACATGGGAAAACTCAACACCCATTCATGATGAAACTTCTTAGTGAATGGGAGTATGAGAGGATATGTCTTTCTTTTGATATAAGTTATCTTCAAATCTCTAGAGCTAATATTTTAGTTTATATTGATCACTTAGCCTTAATTTTAGAACAAGATCAGGATGTACACAATCACCTTTTTGTTCAACATTGTTCTGGAAGTCCTGGCCAGCAAGAAAAAGAAATGAAAGGTGAACCCACAAAAATTCCAAATGACTATTGTAGACACTGGAGAGCTGAAAAGATACATGCATGCCAATATTCACAGCACTGCTATTTACAATAGTCAAGATACAATAATCCAAGTTCCCATCAACAAATGACTGACTTAAGATACACACACAAACACACAAAATGGAATATTATTATTGTGTGGCCATAAAAAGAATAAAATATTGCCACTTGCAGTAACATGGATGGACCTAGAGAATATTATGCTTAGTGAAGTAAGTCATACAGAGAGAGACAAAATACTTTATGATACCACTTATATGTGGAATCCAAAAGGTAATACAAGTGAATCTCTACAAAACAGAATCAGACTTACAGGCTTAGAAAACAAACATGGTTACCACAGGGGAGACGGAGTAAGGGAGAGACAAATCAGTATGGGATTAATGGATACAAACTATATTCATAAAATAGATAAAGCAACAAGGATTTGCTGTATAGCACAAGGAATTATATTTAATAGCTTGTAATAACCTATAAAGGAATATAATTTGCAAAAAACCGTGAATCATTTTTACACCTGAAACTAGCATAATATTGTAAATAAACTATACTTCAATTAAAAAATTAAAATTTCTATGGAAATGCAATGGCCCTAGAACAACCAAGTTAACCTAGAAAAACAATAAATGTTGGAACACTCAAACTGCCAAATTTCAAGGCTCATTATAAGGCTACAGCAATTAACAGAATACTGTTTTCACATAAGGGCAAACAGACCAATGAAACAAAAGAGCATGTCCAGAAATAGGTCCAACTATATATATCACTTCATCTTTTCAATGATGCCAATCAAATTCACTGGTTGAAAACAACTGAATGTGTACAGGATAAACTTCTGAGTTAACAAGAAAGCTAACAAAAACCAATAGGGTTGTGTCAAAAAGGACTTAAGAGTTATCTTGAAGGGGCTTTACCTGCTAGAGCTGTCACAATTTCAGCATAAACAAGCACAGTAATAGCAACATGGGCAGTTTCCCTGGTAGGTCAGTGGGTAAAGAATCCACCTGTAATGCAAGAAACTGCCCAGTAGTGCAAGAGAGTCAGGTTTGATCTCTGGGTGCGCAAGATACCATGGAGGAGGGCATAAGCAACCCACTCCAGTATTCTTGCCTGGACAATCCCATGGACAGAGGATTCTGATGGGCTACAGTCCATAGCGCTACAAAGAGTTGGACATGACTGAAGCGACATAGCATACACTTATGGAAGATGCTACTGAAATAATTCATTATTTTGAAAACTAATAAATGATGCTAAAATATTAAGCATCAGTATGCTTTTCTTAACTACCTGTATCACAATGTAACCAATCAGAAGTTGAGAGTAAATTTCTTTTTATTAGACGATTTAATTTATAAAGGAGAGATGATAGAATTAAAATAACCCAATTTTGAAATCTATAATTAATCCATGGATCAGGCCTTGAGCACAAATGGCTGTTAATATCACAAAGAGAAAAACAATGCAATATTATGGTGCTTCCTGATAGAAAGATACACGACCATCTATGAATCAACCTTGCTAAAGAACCTGAACCTGAAAGTAAATAAATTAATACTTTACTAGAAATACAGAAGAAATAACATACACTATATAGACGCAATCAGCAAAAGTTCAGTCACTGAGGAGCTCAACAAGGCAAACAATTCAGTTTCTGAAACAAATAAACTATAGTTTGAAAAAAGAGGAGGAAGGGAAGGAGGGAAGAAGAGGGATATATGGAAGGAGAATCCATAGATTAAAAGAGACTCAGAAGATATACAAACTACTGTAATATTTGTCAATGTAGATTCAAAGTAACTTCCAAATATTTTTGTGATATTTATGAGATTACTGGAAAGCTGAATAGTGATTTAACGTCTGGTTACATTAAGGACTTCCCTAAGGGTTTCCCTGGTGTCTCAGATGGTAAAGTGTCTATCTGCAATGTGGGAGACCTGGGTTCGATCCCTGGTTGGGAATATCCCCTGGAGAAGAAAATGGCTACCCACTCCAGTACTCCTGCCTGGAAAATCCCATGGACAGAGGAGCCTGGTAGGCTACAATCCATGGGATCACAAAGAATTGAAAACAACCGAGCAGCTTCACTTTCTTTCACTTTATATTAATGACTTATTCATTTGTGTAATGCGATCATGGTATTGTGGTTATGCATTAAAAATAATCCTTATTTTTTAGGTACATAGTAATATATTGATGGATGAAATAATGTGTGTGAGGTGTTTTAAAACAACAGGGCACCAGGGAGAAGTTGAGGGCACAGACAAAACAAAATGGCCCATGAATTGTTGAAATTGAAAGAGAGGCACATAAGTATTCTGTTGGTTTTTGCTTATGTTTGAAATGTTTAATAAGAAAGGCTAAAAAATGCCATTAACAAAATAATGAAAATATTTCCCACAAATAAGGTAAAAGATTAATAATTTTTCAATATCAAAGAGAATTCATACAAATGAGCCTGAAAAAGTAATAAAATATACAAACTATAATGAAAATATATGAAATTTTATTGTACTGAATTAAGAATTTCTTCACATCAAAAATATTTGAAAAATAATAGATATATGTATATGTTACTTTTCTATACACCTGAAACTAACACAAAATTGTTAATCAACTGTACTCCAACAGAAAAATAGTTAAGATAAAAAGAATAAAAATAAACAGAAACATCAGGGGTTAAAAGGCAACCAAAATGTAAATTGACTAAACATAATAGATTGTCTACCTCTATTTAGTTATTTAAATAATGATTACTTTGTCTGAGTGGGTGTTTGGTGTATGTAGACGTAATATATAAGGTACCTAATAACAAAGGGGAGAGGAATAAGGAAATAAGGAATAAGGAAAATAGTGTTAAGATTTCCACATTTTACACTTTACATTTTACATAAAGAGGTAGAATGTCTAGTTAGAGTTGATTGTGATAAGCTAAGTAAGTATACTATTACCTTGAACAACCACTAAAATATCTGTACAAAGAGATATAGTAAAAACAATAGCCACAGACAACTGGGAATCAAATTTTTAAAATACCATGTATAATAGTACCAAAAATGAAGCACTTATTCATAAATATAACATAACATATACAAGATTTCTAAGCTGAAAACTACAAAACACTTATGAAAGAAATCAAGGGTAACCTAATCAAATAGAAAGAAATACCATGTTTATGAACTGGAAGACCCTATAAAGATTTATTTCTCTTTCATTCAAAAATCCTGGCATATTTTTTTATGTAAACCTGAGTATAAAACTCATACTCAGGCAAGTGAATTAAAATGTCCACAAAAACTGGGAAGAAAAATAAGCTTGCTGGAAATTATACTACTTCATTTTAAGACAATAACAAGCTACAATAATCAAAGTGCAATATGGGTGAAAGGATAGACATACTGAATAATTAGAAATGGAAAATTGAAAGGCAAGTCACAGATTAAAGTATTTTCAAATCACATACCTGAAAAAGACTTATATTCAGAATACAGTAGTAACTTTCAAAATTCAATAGTAAGAAAACTCTCCAAATAAAAATGAGGAAAAGGCTTCAACAGCTACTTCACCAGGCAGGATTTACAAAAGGCAAAAAGCATATGAGAAAATACTCATCATCATTAGACATCAGAGAAATACAAATGAAAGCCACAATGATATATCATTACATCTATTTAAATAGCTAAAATAAAAATTACTGATAATATCAATGGATGCAAGGATGCATAGTAAATAGATCTCTCATTCATTACTAATAGGGGATAGAGAATGTTATAGCTACTCTGAGAAATAGGCAATTCTTTATAAATTTCAACATACGCAATAATAATCCCTTGTTCACACAAAAAGCTTAATGTATACTTAATGTATACTTCTGATCTTTCTATTCATAATCACCCAAATCTGGAAACGACCAAATTTTCTTCAACTGATATATGCATAAATAAATCAACTGCATACACACAATGGAAATAAAAAGGAGTAAACTACTGACAAATGAAATAATTTGAATGAATTTCAAAGGCACTATGTTGAGTGAAAGGAACGATTATCAAAATGTCCATTTATAAGACATTTTCCAAAGGAAAAGGAATTGTAGTGATGGACAACGTATCAGTGGCTGCCTGGGCTTATCAGTGAGGAGGAAGGAATACAAGACTGCCAAAGGACATTTCTGGAATGTTGGAAATGTTATGATTGTGACAGAAGTCACACAATATCATGTGTATTAAAACTCATGCAATTACATAAAACCATTCCATTTTGCTTGTTAAAGTAATTTTAAAACAAAAATAAATTACCTCCAGATCTTTTTTTAAGAATGTAAAAATATAGAGACAAGAAGCAAGAACTGTAGAGAATTCTGACCTCTGAACTCTGCTTGGATTGTTGCCAATTACAAAATGGTGAGAAAACTGCCCATAATAGTGGAAAGGCTATTACACTGTATGGAATTCATACTCAATTCAACGATGAGAGGCAAAGTAAGGAGGTTTGATTATGGTGAATGAGAGAGAGGAACACTTTTAATATATAATTGTGATATCACTACTGTACATTTCTAAAGTTCATAAAAAAGAATGATTCACATGCCAATCACTAGGAGTGGAAAGTAGAAATAGTACCTCCCCGCTGCCCCCAGATAAAGCATTAATACAGTTTTAGAATTCATCTTTGTCTTTCAGTTATACTTAGTTAAATTTATAGTTTTGATACCTGGAGAACTGTCACAGATAGACCAGTACCCTGGTGAGGCTGAAAATAGTACTTTACATTTCCCATTCTCTCGACCAGTATCACTGAGATATTCTGACATCAATGAGAAGTAAATGGCAACCCACTCCAGTACTCTTGCCTGGATAATTCCATGAACAGAGGAGCCTGGTAGGCTACAGTCTATGGGATCACAGAGAGTTGGACATGACTAAATGACTAACTTTCTTTTCTTTCTAAGACGATTCTGAGCTGCATTCAACACTACAGTTTTAGAAAATCATTCTGCATAGGATAACTGCTTCAGAAACTGAGAATTTAGTTTTATTGTCTCTATTTAGTGGATATGTGGCTTGTGTTGTCATAATTGTATATGTTGTAGGGAATTCTTTGGTGTTTTATTAAAAAAAAAAAACTTTGGATTTTAAAAATGGGACCCACAAAGCTTAGAGCTGAATTAAGTAAACTACAGTAGTCCTGATTGGAAGACAGCCTTAGCTCAATCCTGTTTCACCCTAGAGACTTTATGAGAGTAATCAAATTATACCCTCGGGTAAGAAAGATTTTAAACTTTTTATTTAGAATTTAACTGATAAATAAAAATGGATTTAATTTCTATACTTAATTTTTCCTTGGAAATTTAATATGGGAGAATAATTCATATTGCTCAGTTTAAAATAGTCTTATACTTCTGATAGTGTATTATTTGGAGGATATTTATGCTGTTATTTGGGTTCCTGGTCTAATCCAATGAGCTCTAACAGACAACATGAAGTAACACAGAATGATGTAAATAATAAAGTGATGTTTCACTGGAGTTCATGGTGGACTGAATTAATGTACTTAATTTCTGATCCACTTCATAATTTCTAAAAATCATTTTGGGCAATATAAAAATTATCTTGAAATTTTTTGTTTTACATATTGTTCATTCAGCAGCAATACACCATTTAAGTTTTCTAAAATGATGATATAAGGCCAAAATACTAAATTAATAATTAGAGATAAAATTCTGGAAGCAATAGAGTTGTATCATTATTTGTAAGCATCACCCTAAATCTGTCATTTGACAAAAAGGAATAGAGGAATTATCTGCATTTAAGCCAAAAAAAAAAAAAAAGCCATCCAAATTTAGTCTTCCCTAAAAATACTATTTAATATTTCTTATTATAATATTAAATTACCATATGCTCCTCTGTTTGGTTTCTGGTCAGCAACAGCATAAACTACCTTTATGTAATCATTATTCTTCTTTTTCTTCTTTGGAGAAAAAGCTTTAAAATGCAACAAAACATTTATTTTTAATAATGGTGATGACAGAATTACCCAAGATACACTCTCTTATCATACCATAATAGGAAATGAGCCCACATGCTAATTATATTCAGCATTTTGGGGAGGTATTGTAGAACAAGAAGAAATGTGAAATGGGATTACTCTTCAAATATTATCCTTTTAGTTTAAAAGATATACTTGAAGGGACAGAATTTTCTTCTGACAGAAAAGCTATACCTGGGTTATTAACTGTAACTTACTATTTCCTTTTCATAGAGATGGGATATCAATAGAGCTACTGGCTGGAGACCCACTAGCCCACAGTGACAACTGCAACTCTTGAATGTGCCTCACAAATTAGCAAAAGTAACCACATACATATTCCTTCTCTGTAAAAAAGGAAATGATAATTCCTGCTTCTAACCAATTAGGAGGACAAAGGAACTTCATAGCATGTGTGCTCAATGTTTTTTCAGTAAAATTGTCACATATGAGAGTGATCTTTCCTCTAACTAGACCAGGTTCAGCCAGTATTCCTTTCCTCTCTTATTCTCTGTCCCTCTGGAAGCTATTTGGAAGATGACAACATCACTATAGAGGTATAACTCAATTTGTCACCTAGATAAAATAATTTATATACCACTTCCTCAAAAGAGGAGATTTGAGGTAACAATTTGTTTCAAGTGTCTTCTTGACCACATTCACAAACACACAGACACACACACACAGAGTACTCAGTACTCTGTGAAACACAAAGATGGGAGTTACAATATTATGGGTATTAAGATAGTAGGAAATGTGGAATACATGGATTAAGAACAACACAAAGTATTAGAGAGTTCAAAGGAGAGGTATCTTACAATTACAGACATCAAGAAAGATTTTTTTATTGTGTCATTTATGGTAAATATTTAAAGAACTGTAAGATTTGAATAGATGAACAGTAAACATGGCATTCCAGGCTAGAAACTTGGATAAAGAGAAGCACAGAAGTATAAATGGTAACTTGTGTTTTGGGAAAGGTCAGTAGTCTCATCTGATTAGATGATTAACTGAATGCTTGCTATGGGCTAGAACTTTTGGGCTCTTTATGGGATTTAGAAGTATTATCTTCTCAGATGATAAAACTGATTCAAAGATGTTAAATAATTTGTATAACCTATTTACAAGGCTAGAAAATGATAAAGCAGGACTTGAACTTCAGCAGTTTGGCTACAGTTTGGGTGCATATCACCCCTAGAACATATCCATCTTCTTCAAGGAGGTAATGTGAAGTAAAGTTAGGTTTAAGTTTGACCCTCGATGGTGATGAATGGTTGCTTAAGAAGTCTGAGCTTCATTTAAGAGTTAATAGGAATCTAAGTTTGGTGGCCAGGAGAAGAAATTTTATCAGAGTATACCTTTACATATAATTATGTAATAGCATAAAAAATGGATTTGAGGCAGGTAAAAATAAGACCCAATGGAGACTAGTTAATAATCTACTGGAGTGACAAAGGGAGGCTCTCACCAAGAAACAGCATTGATGGCACAGAGACAAGATTGATGGGATGCTGTGATAACTCATGGAAGATTATTATGTTCTTCCCTGATACATATACTCACAGATAATTAAAAATAAACCTACATATTTTTATTCTGGCCAAGAAATTTTAATATAATTAATTTAATAAATACTAGTATAGTATTATAATGTTAGAAATAAGAGGAAGCTGGTAGATACTGGGCATAACAAAGTAATAACCTGAAGTCCTCCTTTAAACTTTCTTTGTTTCTCCTTTTTTCCTTTTTCTTCCCTTCCCTCTTTTTTCTACTTCCTCCTTTCCTTCATCTTTTTTTTTTTTCTGGTACTATCTATTCTTTATGGCTGACAAAATAGTAGAACATCATGTTGGTAGGTAATAGCAATTATTTACAAATTTTTAGTTTCAGTAGCACAAAATATTACAGGTTCTTATGCAATATTGCTCTTTACATCATTGGACTTTACTTCCATCACCAGTCACATCCGCAAGTGGTTGCTGTTTTTGCTTTGGCTCCATCTCTTCATTCTTTCTGCAGTTATTTCTTCACCAATCTCCAGTAGTATATTGGGCACCTACCAACCTGGGGAGTTCATCATTACTGTCCTATCTTTTTGCCTTTTCATACAGTTCATGGGATTCTCAAGGAAAGAACACTGAAGTAGTTCACCATTCCCTTCTCCAGTGGACCACGTTTTGCCAGAACTCTCCAACATGACCCGTCTGTCCTAGGTGGCCCTACACAGCATACTCGTAAGTTCACTGAGTCAGACAAGGCTGTGATCCATTTGATCAGTTTGGTTTGTTTCCTGTGATTGTGGTTTTCATTCTGTCTGTCCTCTGATGGATAAGAGGCTTATGGAAGCTTCCTGATGGGAGAGACTGACTGAGGAGGAAACTAGGTCTTGTTCTGACAGGCGGGGCCCATTACATTGATTATATTCTTTACAGGCAAACATGGAGAAGCTCTATACAGTCAGCAAAAACAAGACCAGGAGCTGGCTCAGATCATGAACTCCCTACTGCCAAATTCAGACGTAAATTGAAGTCAGTAGGGGAAAATACCAGACTATTCAGGTATGACTGAAATCAAATCCCTTATGATTATACAGTGGAAGTGACAAATAGATTCAAGGGATTAGATCTGATAGAGTGCCTGAAGAACTATGGACGGAGGTTCATAACATTGTACAGGAGGCAGTGATCAAGACCATCCCAAAGAAAAAGAAATGCAAAAAGGGAAATGGTTGTCTGAGGAGGCCTTACAAACAGGAGAGAAAAAAAAAAGAAGTGAAAGGCAAAGGAGAAAAGGAAAGATAAACCCATTTGAATACAGAGTTTCAAAGAATAGCAAGGAGAAATAAGAAAGCCTTCCTCAGCAATCAATGCAAAGAAATAGAGGAAAACAATAAAATGGGAGAGACTAGAAATCTCTATAAGAAAATTATAGATACCAAGGGAACATTTCATGCAAAGATGGGCACCATAAAGGACAGAAATGGTATGTACATAACAGAAGCAGAAGATACTAAGAAGAGGTCGCAACAATACACAGAAGAACTGTATAAAAAGGATCTTCATGACCCAGATAATCATGATGGTGTGATCACTCACTTAGAGCCAGACATCCTGAAATGTTAAGTCAAGTGGGCCTTAGGAAACATTAGTATGAACAAAACTAGTGGAGGTGACGGAATTCCAGTTGAGTTATTTAAATCCTTAAAGATGATGCTATGAAAGTGCCGGACTCAATATGTCAGCAAATTTGGAAAACAGAGCAGTGGCCACAGGACTGGAAAAGGTCAGTTTTCATTCCAATCCCAAAGAAAGGCAATGCCAAAAAATGTTCAAACTACCGCACAATTGCACTCATCTCACACGCTATTAAAGTAATGTTCAAAATTCTCCAAGCCAGGCTTTAACAATACGTGAACTGTGCACTTCCAGATGTTCAAGTTGGATTTAGACAAGGCAGAGGAAACAGAGACTAAATGCCTACATCCACTGGATCCTCAGAAAAGCAAGAGAGTTCCATAAAAACATCTATTTCTGCTTTATTGACTATGCCAAAGTCTTTGACTGTGTGGATCACAACAAATGGTGGAAAATTCTTAAAGAAATGAAAATAACACACCTGACCTGCCTTCTAATAAATCTGTATGCCTGTCAAGAAGCAACAGTTAGAACTGGACATGGAACAAAAGATTGGTTGCAAATCTGGTAAGGAGTACGTCAAGGCTACATATTGGCACCCTGCTTATTTAACTTATATGCAGAATACATCATGCGAAAAGCCGGGCTGGATAAAGCACAGGCTAGAGTCAAGATTGCCAGGAGGAATATCAATAACCTCAGATATGCAGATGATAACACCCTCATGGCAGAGAGTGAAGAAAAACTAAAGGGCCTCTTGATGAAAGTGAAAGAGGAGAGTGAAAAAGCTGGCTTAAAACTCAACATTCTGAAAACTAAGACCATGGCATCACTTGATGGCAAATATGGGGAAACAATGGAAACAGTGAGAGACTATTTTTGGGGGGCTCCAAAATCACTGCAGATGGTGGCTGCAGCCACGAAGTTAAAAGACACTTGCTCCTTGGAAGGAAAGCTATGACCAACCTAGACAGCATATTAAAAAGTAAAGACATTACTTTGTCAACAAAGTTCCATCTAGTCAAAGCAATGGTTTCTCCAGTAGCCATGTATGGATGTGAGAGTTGGACTATAAAGAAAGCTGGGCACCAAAGAACAGATGCTTTTGAACTGTGGTGTTGGAGAAGACTTGTGAGAGTCCCTTGGACTGCAAGGAGATCCAACCAGTGTATCCTAAAGGAAGTCAGTCCTGAATATTCACTGGAAGGATGGATGCTGAAGCTGAAAACTCCAATACTTTGGCCACCTGATGCAAAGAACTGACTCCTTGGAAAAGACCCTGATCCTGGTAAAGATTGAAGGTGGGAGGAGAAGGGGATGACAGAGAATGAGATGTTTGCTTGGTGTCACTGACTCAATGGACATGAGTTTGAGTAAGCTCTGGGAGTTGGTGATGGACAGGGAAGCCTGGAGTGCTGCAGTCCATGTGGTCGCAAAGAACTGGACATGGCTGAGCGACTAATCTGAACTAAGCACAAAATATATTTTAAGTATAAGGAAGTTGGCTAGAACTGCAGTATAGGGATGACTCTGCTGAATCACTTGATAAGGCTATTTTAGTTTGTTTTAATTTATATATATATATATATATATATATATGTCTACATTTCAACTCGAACTGTGTTAGGGAAATTCCTAGAATCCTGCCCTGGTACAAAGCAGATAGCAAGCATGAGTAATTGTTTTGCAAAAGAATTTTTTACATAAATATATAGTCAAGTACTTTCTACATAGCTACATTAGATATTAATATTCTCACATGCATAATGTTGTTCATCTTGTTCTCCGTAATCATTTGTATTTTTCCTCATATCTTCTTTTTTAATGCCACTTTCTTGCATTTTTTGTAAATGATAAGCCATTTTTTTCTCTAGAAGAGCTTGTTTCTAAAATATTAAACAAGTATATTGGTTAACATCAAATTGCTGTTTAAAGATACAAATAAATATTTAAAATGTGACAGTATGTTGGAAATGAGCAGTCATTCCTGTCCTGTGACTTGTAAGGTTATTCTGAACATAAATTTGGGAGGGTGGTAATGGGTAAAATTTCATATGTTGTCAAACAGGAAGAATATATTTAACCCTTAGATGCAGTTGTTCTCATTGCACACCTTCAGGGTATCCAGTTTCAGATCAGACATCATCTCAATGTATTGCTCTCCTGTGATTTTAGGAAATTTCTAAATCATCTTCAGTTGGAGAATTCCTTTACCAAAAGTCACTCAGGTCAAACACATATAAACAGAAAATCATACATGAAATCTGGCTTCTTTTTGTATATCTCTGGACTAATACTGACACTGGATATACCAGAAAAGAGACAGCTACACAGAGAAGAGCCCCAGTAATCTTCAGAGAATTTCCTAGAGGTGCAGTCAGCAAGAGAATGGATTAGTACTTATATGACTTTTATGTGAGAAACTACCCAAGACCAAAGACAGGCCCATCCCAAAGGAATCAAGAAAAGAATACTTGACACCAATCTATGATGCTTATTTACATGAGGCTACCCAGAAAAAATTCATTAAGTCATAGGGCATTGAGTAGAGTACTAAAATGGGTCTTGCCTCTGCAGTGATGGATAACTCACCCCAGGTTCAATATGGTTCTATTCTCATCTAACAAATATTAAAAAGCAAGACTTATAAAAATCAAACCATTTCCAAATAAACCTATCTACATCTAAGAAAAAAGAGCTAAAGAATATTATACAAAGATGAAAACACTCAGCACACACAATAAAAAGTTCACAATATTTGGCATCCAATCAAGGAATACCAAGCATATAAAGTAGCATAGAAATATGACCCCTAAAGAGAGTAATCAATCAAAAATAACTCAGAAATGATACAGATGTTAGAATTAAAGATAACATTAAAATAAATAAGCTGAAAATAGAGTTACCATATGATCCTGCAATCCTATTCTTGGGCATATATATAGGGAAAGATACACTCACAAAGATACACTCACTTCAACATATATAGAGAAAGATACACTCACAAAGATACACTCACTTCAACATTCACTGCAGCACTATTTACAACAGCCAAGACAAGGAAGTAATGTAAATGTCTATTGACAGGTGAATGGATAAAGAAGACACGATATGTGTGTATACACATACAATGGAATATTACTCAGCCATAAAAAGAATGACAATGCCACTTTCAGCAACATGGATGGACCTAGAGATTATCATACTAAGTGAAATGAGCCAGAGACAAATATACATCAGTATATGTGAGATCTAAAAAATAATACAGATAATCTTATTTACAAAGCAGAAATAGACTCACAGGCACAGAAAAAAAAAAAACTGAAAACTGCCGAAGAGGGTAGCAGGCAATGGGTACAGAGACAAATTAAGAGTTTGATATTAACATATACACACTACTATATATAAAATAGGTAAACAAGAACCTACTGCATAGCACAGGGAACTATATTCAGTATTTTCTTATTATCTATAGTGGAAAAGAATTTGGAAAAGACTTTATATATGCACATGAACATATATGTGTGTGTGTGTGTGTGTATAACTGAATCACTTCTGTACACTTAGAACATCATTATAAATTAACTACACCTGAATTAAAAACATACAATAACTGAATTCCAAATATTTATAAGATAAACAAGAGACACAGAAAGTACAGAAAGTGCCCAAATCAATTTTAAATGTGTGAGATAAGCAATGCATTTGGTGCATTAATGGTAGAGTTCACATTGAAGGGGAAGAGATTAATATATATTCAGAAAAAGAAACCATCCAAAAAGAAATACTGAGAGAAAAAAAATGCAAAATTAGGGAATGTGGCTAAGATGGTAGAGAAGGGAGACCCCCAGGCTTCCTTCCTTGATCATGGACATACCAAAATTAAAACTATTTTCAGGCTAACTAAGAGAATGACAGGAAGACTAGCAGAAAAGACTTTCCATAACTAAAGACAGAAAGAAGTAGCCACAATGAGATTGGTAGGAGACAAAGAGATGTAATATAGTCTAGAGCCTCACCTTGGGGTCAGTGACCCATAAACAACAGGATAATCACAACTGAAAAGGTTCTTCCCAAGGAGAAAAAGGTCCAAGCTCAACATTAGGCTTCCCAGCCAGAGAGGTCCTGCACCAAAAAGACAAACTTCAAGAATATCCGGCTTTGAAAGTTAGCAGGGCTTGTGTATGGAAGAACCAGAGGGTGGTAGGAAATAATGACTTTGCTCTAGAAAGGCACATGCAAATATATGTTTTGAGGCCCAGTGCAGAGGCAGTAAGGTGAAAGAAGCATGGATCAGACCAGTTTGTTCATCTTGGAGAGATTCTTGGAGAGACAGGAGGCAAGAGGCATTCCCTTTGGGGATGGGGATGAGGGTGGCAGCCACTTTTGGAGGCCTGATTTACTACAAGGATACCAATGCTGCTAAGTACCATTTTGGGGTCCTCCTTTTAGGTCATTAGCACTGAGGGATGACCTGCTAACAAGGGAGCTGGCAACAGTCCTGGGACCCCATCTGGGCTATACGACCATCCTGATTGGGACCCATCATCTCCCAACAGGGGCCTGGTACCTGCTCCATTTACCAGAGGTCCCACAGCCACTCTTACTAGGACATGCATTGTCTACCAGTCAGGTGGCTAAGGCATGGACCCTTGGGCCTTTCAACCAGCTGCACCAGGACCCAGTGCTGTCCACCAGTGGGCATGGAAGCCATCATGACGCAGAACTTGGCAGTCAACCAGGCCATGTAGATCTGATATGGGACACCTTTTGAGCACATAGTTCCTATGACCAGAGGAGAATGTACTGCTGTGCCTCAAAGGATATTACCCACACAAGTACACATCTTCAGGACTTGGAAATGTAACCAATGTTTCTAATACATAGAAATAAATAAAAAGAATTAGGCAAAATGAGAGAAATATGTTCCAAACATAAACAAAACTTCAGAAAAGAACTAAATAAGGGGAGATAAGCAATCTATCTGATAAAAGAGTTCAAGATTATGGGCATAAGCTGCTCAAGGAACACAGAAGATGGATGAACCAGCGAGAAGTTTAACAAGTGTTAGAAAACATAGAGAGGAATCAAATGGAACTAACAAAATAGCTAAAAACAAACAAACAAAACACGAGAAGGAGTCAACAGATTAGCTGATACAGAGGAAGGGATCAGTGAATTGTAAGACAGAGTAGTTGGAATCGCCTAACCTGAATTGAAAAAAAGAAAAAAAGAGTTAAACAAAATGAGAGTTTAAGACAATTCGAGACATCAGTCATACCATAATTTGCATTACAATGGTCACAGAAGGAGGAGAAGAGAGAAGGAAAGTGGCTGAGGACTTAGATGAAGAAAAAATAGATGAAAACTTGTCTAATGTGGGAAAGAAAACAGCCATCCATGTCCAAGAAGCACAAAGAATCCCAATCAAGATCAACCAAAGAGGTTCACACCAATTTCTGGCAAAAATTAAAGAAAAGAAGGAATCCTGAAAGCAGCAGGGGAAAACCAAATAGTTATATATCCATAAGACTCTGAGATAACTTTTCAGCAGAAATTTTTCACTCCAGAAGAGTGGTACTATACTTCAAAGTGATAAAAGGAAAAGTTACAACTAAGAATATTTAGCAAGGCTGTCATTCAAATTTGAAGGTCAGCCCATGAATTTTGTAGGTAGGTGCCCAATATGCTACTGGAGATCAGTGGAGAAGTAACTCCAGAAAGAATGAAGGGATGGAGCCAAAGCAAAAACACATCCAGTTGTGGATGTGACTGGTGATAGAAGTAAGGTCCAATGCTGTAAAGAGCAATATTGCATAGAAACCTGGAATGTTAGGTCCATGAATCAAGGCAAATTAGAAGCAGTCAAACAGGAGATGGCAAGAGTGAACATTGACATTCTAGGAATCAGCAAACTAAGATGGACTGGAATGGGTGAATTTAACTTAGATGATGATTATATCTACTAATGTGGGCAGGAATCCCTTAGAAGAAATGGAGTAGCCATCATAGTCAACAAGAGAGTCTGAAATGCAGTACTTGGATGCAATCTCAAAAATGACAGAATAATCTGTTCATTTCCAAGGCAAATCATTCAATATCATGGTAACCCAAGTCTATGCCCTGACCAGGAACACTGAAGAAACCAAAGTTGAATGTTTCTATGAAGACCTACAAGACCTTTTAGAACTAACACTCAAAAAAGATATCCTTTTTATTATAGTGGACTGGAAATCAGTCCTGGGTCTTCACTGGAAGGACTGATGTTGAAGCTGAAACTCCAATATTTTGGCCACCTGATGTGAAGAGATGGCTCTTGAAAAGACCCTGATGTTGGGAAAGACTGAAGGCAGGAGGAGAAGGGGATGACAGAGGATGAGATGGTTAGATGGCATCACCGACATGAGTTTGGGTAAACTCTGGGAGTTGGTGATGGACAGGGAGGCCTGGCGTGCTGCAGTTCATGGGGTCGCAAGGAGTCAGAAACGACTGAGTGACTGAACTTAACTGAATGGAAAAGACAACTAAAAAGTTTTATAAGAAATGTGAAAAGGTCTGCTCTAAGCAGAAAAGAGCACAACTAGAAATATGAAAAATACAAAAGGAAAAATCTCATTGGTAAAGGCACACACACAGTAAAGGCAGTGGATCAAGCACTTATAAAACTAGTAGGAAAGTTAAAAAACAAAAGTAGTAAAATCATATCCACAGTAAGTAGTTAAGTCAAAATGAAAATTGGTTGCATGGCTGTGTCCGACTCTGTGATCCCATGGACTGTAGCCCATCAGCCTCCTCTGCCCATCGAGTTCTCCAGGCACGAGTACTAGAGTGGGTTGCCATTTCCTTCTTTAGGGGATCTTCCCGACCCAGGGATTGAATCTGGTTC